AGAGCAAGCATTTATTAGGTACCTACTGTGTGCCAAGGGCTGTGCTTGGTTTTTTTCAAGCCGAGACAGGCATCGTTTTACAGCTCAACGGCTGAGGCTCGGAGGAGTGGATGACAGTTACGGGCTTGTCATGTTTTATGGCTTTTCCCCATCACTCTAGTGAGTACATGTTCTACTCCCATGTCACGGATGAGGGGAGCGGGGGCTCGGGGACGTGTGGCACACTGGCCCGGCTGGGGCAGCTGGAGAGCCGAGGTTCACCCCAAGTGGGCCGCTCTGAGCCCTCCTCACCACAGCTGGGAGGCGTGGAGGGGCCGTGAGGCCGAGACTCCTGCTGGGACTGTGAACACGGCAAAGACTTTGCAACGCTTGTCAAGATGGAGCTAGGACCTCAGACTAGATTCGAGGCGATCTGCCCCGGCGAGCCCTTTGGAGCAGGAGCCTGGGGCAGCCCGGGCTAAGAGAGGTGACAGGGATGGGACAGGCACAACCTGCACTGGGAACTTTGGGCTCCGGCTACCCTGTCCTCCCACCCTGTCTAGAGGGTGGACACCATACCTTCCCCGTTAGACTCCATTCTTGAGGCCGTGTTGACTGTGTCCCCAAAGAGACAGTAACGGGGCATCTTCAGCCCCACCACACCAGCGCACACGGGTCCTGGAGGGAGGGAAGCGAGTCAGCAAGGGGAGGGAGGGTGGTAAGGGAGGTGGGTGGCGGATGGAGGGTGGCCACAGGGCGGGGCTGGGGCGCTCCGCAGAGGCAGGAGGGGGGATGAGGCAGGTGGAAAGAAGCCTCCCTCCCGCGGCTCCAACCTTCGGGAGCCGGCTCGGGCTTCGGGCTTCGGCGGCCTCACCTGTGTGGATGCCGATGCGCAAGCGCAGCTGCTCCTGAGGCCGGTGGCGGATGCGGAAGGAGCGCACGGCGTCGAGCAGCGCCAGGGCCATGCGGGCCACCTCGCGCGCGTGCAGCCGCCCGTTCCGCACTGGGAGCCCGGACACCACCATGTAGGCGTCCCCGATCGTCTCTACCTGTGAGGGTGGCGCGAGGGCTGGACCGTCTCTTCCCTGTGCTGCCCCAACACCTCGTGCCCTGTCATTCTGTCCGCTCATCGGCCAGCCGGCCGCTCTTTCCTCTCCTCTCCCCCGCCCCCGCACGGTTTCTCTCCCTGCTCCTGGGTCTCCCTGTGACACTGTCTCCGCCTGTGTCCCTTGGTCTCCTCTCTTACGGATTCTATGTCATTCTGCCCTTCCCCTCTCGCTGGCCCTGTCCCTGAGTCTCTGTCTGTCTGTCCGTCCCTTCTCATCCCTTCCCCCATCCTCACCTTGTACACGTCGAAGTTGTCTATAACAGCATCGAAGCAAGTGTACAGGTCATTGAGCAGGGTCACCACCTGGAAGGAAAGAGAGCCAAAGGGGGCAGGGGGTGAGGGACCCCGCCTGGGCTTGGGCGGGTGGGAAAAGCGGAACCAGAAACTGGCCTGCGGGGTGAAGACGCTCCGCCCAGCACACCTGCCTGGCTGCCCGCTGCGGCTGCGCCTGCGCCTGCGCCTGCGCCCTGACTCACCCGGCCCCTGACTCACCTGCATGGGCGTGCTCTCTGCTGACAGGGCTGTGAAACCCACGATGTCACTGAAGTAGATAGTCACGCTGTCGAAGGCTTCGGCCTGGACGGTCTCCCCGCGCTTCAGCTGCTCAGCCACCGAGCTGAGGGGCCAGGGGTCAGAGGGTGAGGCGGGGCGGGGCCAGGGGCCAGGGGCGGCACCAGCCAGGGCACTCACTGGGGCAGGATCTGGTAGAGCAGGGCCTCGGCCTTGCCCTTCTCCTCCAGGTAGGCCTGGGTGCGCCCCTCCACCAGCTCCTCCAGGTTGTCGGCGTACTGCTCCATGCGACGTAGCAAGTTGTCCAGGATGTTGCTGCTGTTCTCCCTGGGGGGGCGCGGGCGGGATGAGGGTGCTGATTGGGGACGCAGCGGGGTAGGGGTGCAGGGCCAGAGGGGAGGAGGAAAGGTAGCTCATCCCTGCGACTGGGGGGGTCAAGCCGGAAGCTTCGGGCATCCTGGCGATTTTGTTCAGCCCGGGGGAACACAGTGAGGACGGACAGGACGCCAAAGGCACCGGGATCGATGGGGAGCCGCGGCAGCGCGCGCGGGGTCAGCGTTGCGTCTGGAGGCACCGGGCCGCGGGGGCCAGGACGCGAAGCCCCAGGAGGGCACACTGGGAGGGGAAGCATCAGGAGTAGGGGGGCTCCTGTGGCGGGCAGAGAGGCTGCAGCAGAGGCGGGAGGCCCCGTCTTCTCTGCACAGAAGACTAGGGACCGTGGGGGGCTGGGCAGGAAGGGTGTGGGGTGGCGGTGCTGGTGGAGGAGCAGGAACGAGGGGTAGGTGGCTGTTGGACAGTCGGGTCGTGCGGTGCTGCGAAGGGGCCTGCGAGGCTATGGCGGTTGCAGCTGGCCGTGTGAGGGGCCGCCTCGGCCACTGCAGGGGTGAGGC